GACTGTCAATCAGGAGCAGCATTGAGGAGCTAAATGTGTGCATGTCTGGACTCCACGGCTGCTAAAAATGTTCCAGCTGCCAAACGGGGAGTGAATGTTTCGTCAGCATGCAGCTGAGGGGTAAATGAGGACAGCCATGCTGGGTACACTGCCATAGTTGCCTGTGTATGTTCACCTCGTGCCATAGGCTTCCTTTCCCACCAGTCAGCAGCATCTTTCTCTCCTTTATGCTTAATAAGTAGTCATACATTTAAATTTAAATGTAACTTCTTTATGTACTTTTGTGTGTATTTAGATGTTTTATGTGTCCTTTTGAGATAAGCCTGTTAAAGTTAGAGATCATCTCTGGTTTCCTTACAACTCATGATCTGATTGACGAAAACGTGAACTATGGAAGAGGGCCATGTTGCAGAACAAGGCATTAGTAAATTTTCTCAACCCTGGGAAGAAGTGCATGACAGACCATGATCGAATTCTAGAGGGTCTGTACAGCTTTAGATTTAGTGACTTAATATAAGTGATAAAAGATAAACTTGAGGATCCATTTGGTATAGAAATTCTTTTATTTTTTTTTAAATTTTTATTTATTTTATGATAGTCACACACAGAGAGAGAGAGAAAGAGAGGCAGAGACATAGGCAGAGGGAGAAGCAGGCTCCACGCACCGGGAGCCCGACGTGGGATTCGATCCGGGGTCTCCAGAATCGCGCCCTGGGCCAAAGGCAGGCGCCAAACCGCTGCGCCACCCAGGGATCCCTAGAAATTCTTTTTTTTTTAAAGATTTATTTATTTATTTATTCATGAGAGACACAGAAAGAGAAAGAGAGAGAGAGAGGCAGAGACACAGGCAGAGAGAGAAGCAGGCTCCATGCAGGGAGCTGACATGGGACTCTATCCCAGGTCTCCAGGATCACACCCCGGGCCGAAGGTGGCGCTAAACTGCTGAGCCACCAGGGCTGCCCTGGTATAGAAATTCTTAAGACCCTCACTCGACAACAGCAAAGATCTTCCAATTCGATAACTAAGAAAAAAAGGAAATAAGAAAGAAACTTGGCTCCCTTTGCATTAACTCTGGATGAGGGTAGGAAATCTTGATAATATTTAACCTCAAGCTAGCTGTCAACCTGAGTTTAGGGTTAGAATTGATACTCTGTATATGGCTCAAAATGCCCAAACTAAACATTTCCATTAATGTGGTCCTAGGTTGGGAGTGTTCCTGGGTAGAATGGATAGAAGAAAATGTAGGTGTTTTAAATCCAGGTCTCAGAGAGTTCTCACAAATAAATTTCCAAGGAACAGGAATACAGAATGAAAAATCTCAAAACCTAGAACAAAACAATCTACTACGAGTAGGAAAAACAAAAACAAGAAAACAGTATCATCATCACAACAAAAATCAAAGGCCATCGATACTAAAATTATAGGTCATGGGATATATGACATGTTTAATAGGATATCAGCATGTTTAATATGCTTAAAAAACTAAATAGAAATTCTAGAAATAAGATATATAATAATTAGAGTTAGAAACTCTACATATATAATTTAAAAGCAGTTTATAAACACAGCTGAAGAGTGAATTAGTAGCCTAGATGATTGAAGTAATTTTCCAGAATTCTGCAAAGTGATACGTATATTAAAACTGCTGGTAGAAGATATAAATATTTATATTTAATATATATAACACATAAATATATAAATATATATATTTAAGTGTAGCTGAATATATGCTGGGACTGTAAAAGATACAAATCTTCACATTCAGGGATGTAAGGAGTTCCAAGCAAGATAAATGAAATCCATTCCTAAACTTGTCAAACATCAAGAGCAAAAATAAAGGTTTGTTAACAAGAACAAAAGAATGGGAAGTCTAACTAGGAATCTGAAACTAGATGGATTTACCAGAATTTGAGAAGCTTCCTACTCTAAAATGACATTATGAGAAAGTATAAAAAGTAACCCAGTCTATACCTCAAAACCCACAAATAGCTCAGCAGTGGCAGTATCTGATAATTTTGGAAGTGGAAATAAAGGTGGAGCTAAAAAAGGAGAATTGACTCGATGTTAAAGAATTAGAGACTCCTATAGCTAGGGGGTTGGCATTTTTCTCCTTCAGCAGGGCACTGGAGGTCTGTTCCCCAGAGAGGGTACCCAGTGTTTCTGGACTATAGGTCTCAGGGCACAGTTGAGGGCAGAGCTGATTATCACGATAAAAACTGAACCAGTTAAATGAAATGTTGACATACTGACTATGGAGATACCGCTGTTCCTCCTCCAGCCTCCTGGCTCTGAAACATTAGCAATCAGGTTTTACTGGCAAGGAAGGATAAAGAAAGAATCTCTCCTGGGGAATCTTCCAGCTTTCTCACAAGCACCCATAGGCACAGATACCAGGATTTGATGAGTGAAATGGTTTAACCCAAAACACCTTGAGGTATGCTTGCGGTCGGTAAGCCCCACGCACGCACATGGAACAACAAGCATCTGTTGAATGCCTCATTCTTAAATGAGATGGAGCAGCCAGGGATCACTGTGCAATGTTGAGGAATATCAAAAAGACGTAAAACAAACAGAAAAAAGCATTTCAAGAAAACAGACCATATGAAGAGGAGAAAAATTTTTTAAGGTTATTTTATATATTCAGAGTGATAAGATCGCGCAGCTGTAAAGGTAAAGGAAAAATAAAATGCTTTATTAAAGGGACAGGAAAATGGAACTGCATAAGAAAAACCACCCCGGTTTTCCCTCCAACTCCTTTCTCCTTTACTACTCACACAGAGCACTTCTGTGTCATTTCTGACCCTTCTGGTCATGAGATGTATACAGATTTTTCCCCAAACCAAATAATTTTCCATGACACCAGCTAGGTGCCCTGCAACTTGACTCCATTCTGACATCATCTACCTTGAGATAGTCTTAGACTCGGCGGGTAAGGGGTCAGCCCCACAGGACTGCCCCCCACTTCAGCTGCTAACCACAGATAGTGGGTCCCCAAGATACCCACAACTTTTGTCAGATTTGGCTATAAATCGGAAGTTCCCATGCCCCCCCCCCCCCAGGTTAAGGATACAGATGAAGAGCCAGACGAAGAGATAATATAGAGGGAGGTCTGGGACAGTTTTGAGGGCAAGAGCTTCTGTCCCTGTGGAATTTTGTGATATGTCACCTTCTGGTGTGGATGTATTCATCAGCCTAGACACATATCCCACCATATTATTGGGATTTTATGGAGGCTTCCTCATGTAAACATCAATTATTAACTGCATTTCTAGTTTCCTTCTCATCTCTAGAAAAGTGGGAGTAGGGCTGAAAATGTCAAGCTTATAATCATAGCTTAGTTTTTCTGGTGACCAACTCCCATCCAGGAGCCCATTTGGAGCCACCTCATTAGAACAAAGGATGCTCCTGGTGTTCTTGTCAATTTCCTAAGCAGTTCTCTGCCAAGAACCAGAGGCGGAGAGATCAATATACTATCTCACAGGAGCCACTGAAAATTGTAAACATAATAGATATTAGAAGGGCCTAAATTTAGATTTAAGAAAATCTCCCAAAAGTTGAGCATAAAGGCAAAGAGATAAAAAATAGAAAATAAAAGAAAGTTAAGACACCAGCCCATCATATCCAAAATTCAAGGAAGAGTAGGGAGTGTAGACAAACAGCAAAAAAGTAATATAATAGTATTTCATAGAGCAGAAGTTCAGGAATTTCCATATTGAAAAGGCTCAGAGAGTATTCAACACATGGATAAAAATAAACCCACAACAAGATACATCATTGTAAAATTTCAAAACACTGGGGCAAAGAACCTCTGATTGTAGAGGGTAAAAAGCAGGTTTAACACACAAAGACTAGAGAAGCAGAATGGCATTAGAAGTCTGAACAGCAACACTGGAATCCAAACAGAAATGGAACAGTGCCTTCAAAATTCTGAGGTAAAATTATTTCAGCTTAGAACTCTGTATTCAAACTCTCAACATTAGAGAGGCAAACACAGATGGCTGTTAAGGAGTAATGCTTTATTTTTTAGGTTTGCTGGACAGTATATAAGTATTCGTTTTATTATTCTGTAAGTCATACAGGTATGTTCTATATACTATTTAAACTGTTACACAATTAAAAAAAATAAAATTAGCTAGTAGGGCAAAATGTTAGACGTTGAATGATGGGTACATGATGTTCTGTACCTTTTGCATACTTAATGTATATGATGATAAAATATTTTAAAAATTTTTAAAGAGTAAAGTTTGGGAGGGAAGGTGGGATAGCAGGAGAGAATGAGTGCTAGCACACTAATACAACATTCTCTTTCTCTGGAAATGTAAGAAGTGTTCTCCACGGGGGGCTCCGTTCCATACCAACTTCTTTTTTTTACCATTTCTGTACTTAGAGTTCTAAGCAGATGGACTCAAGGAGTAGTTTCTTCGACTTACAAACACCACCACATGAGCCTTTCTGTCAAATTAGAGGCCTCTTGGCTTGTATGTATGCCCTACAAAATGCAGCTTGGTGTCTGTCTTTTTCAGGTATTATTGAAAGTAGGCAGCCTGTCACAACCTTGCCAATCCTGTCTTATGGTTTAGTACCTGGTGTAGGCTTTGGGTTCAGACCACCTGGGCTCTTACCGTCTAGTAGTATTGCCTTCAGTAAGTTTCTGTCTTCTTTTTCAGTCTCCTCATCACTGTACTGGGAATAATGATAGTGTCTAACTCGTAGGGGTTTTGTGAGACTTACTGTTAACTCTTGTCATTATCGTTATTTGCAAATGGCAAGGTCATATTGTCATAAACTAAAAGTGATGATTATAGTCCTCTAACACTGATAAATAAACGCATAATGAACATATTTACTTGTAAGCTTAGATATAAATATGGCCACACTGCAAAGAGATTAGTGAAAGAATCATAAAACAAATATAAATACAGTTACACTAAAGATTGGTGGAAAGCACTATTAAGAGGCTATGTAAATTATGGAGCTGTTCATTTTATTTATATTTTTATCTATACACAGAACATTTCATGAATTTGCATGTCATCTTTGTGCAGGGGTCATGCTAATCTTCTCTGTATTGTTTCAATTTTATTATTTGTGCTCCGGAAATGAGCACCTGTTCATTACTTTTGAAATTCTGCAAGTACGTTTTTTTTTTGTTGTTGTTTTGTTTTTTTGTTTTTTTTGTTTTTTTCCAGTCAACATTCTTGATCCTATTGTGCAAAAAATTTGACATACAGCTAAGGACTTTTAATTGGCTAAAAGATATCTATTATCAAAAAAGAAGGGAAAATGATTGCCTTGCCTCCTTAGGCATGACCAAAATTGTGGGTAAACTGGATGGCTCTGTTGGTTGAGTGCTGGACTCTTGATTTCAGCTCAGGTCATGCTCTCTCAGGGTCCTGAGAGTGAGCCTGGGTTGGGCTCTGGCACACTGGGCATGGAGCCTGCTTAAGCTTCTCTCTCCCTCTGCTCCTAAAAGGAAAAAAAAAAAAAAAAGAAACCAAAATTGTTTGGCTAAAATCTCACACAGTGGGTAGAGTAGTATAAATACTAATTCATATAGTCACTGGTTGCCTCACTTAGTAGGTTCTGGAGGTCATAGTACTCATCAAAAATTATATTAAATCCTACATTTAAAAGATCAGTTGAATGGAGTAAAAACATGTTTGTGGGGCCCCTGGCTGGCTCAGTTGGTTGAGTGTCTGACTCATGCTAAGCATGGAGCCTACTTAAAAACAAGAATAAAACATATTTGTGAAATTAAAAGATGCCACAAATTCATTTTTGTCTTAACTTTATTAATTTCTGCTACTTGAATATCAGTACAAAATCTCTGAATTAATCTAAAATCATAATGCTATTATTCCCTAGACAATTTTAAACTTGAAAACTTGATTTATATAATGTTTCCTCAGCCCAGAGGTATCACTTACTCTTGTCCTTTCCAGCCTATAAAATTCTAGGACTTTTTGAGTTTGAACTATGTTACATAGTTACAGAAGAAGATGTAAAATGCATTAAAATTTTTCTCAGCCTGTTTTGTTTGCTGAGACTGCCTTATTCTCAATCCCTGAGACTCAGATAAAACTTGACTCCACCCCTAGCTAAAGTGGTGACTCAGGAGAACAGGAAGAGTAGCACATCCTCTTGAGCAAGAGATTGATTCTCTTAGTAGAGTTGTTGAGAAAAAGATCCCCTTTATCTGCTGAGGTTTTTCTGCACTGCCAGTTTGGAGGTGCTTAGAGCCTGCTTGCTCGAAGGGTTTGCCTGAGAATGAGGGTAACTCAGAAGCAAGCACAGCAGATTGGAGGAGGGGACTGTTTTCTTAAAGACAATGTTGACTCTATCTGAAATGGGTCAAACCATGAACTTCCTTATTTTGCAAGTAAAGAAACAAAGAATAAGAAAAAGAGAAGGTTATACAGGAAAGAAAAATTATAAAATACTACATGGCTCAGCTGTGAACAGTTTTACGTTGTCACAACAATGTAAATATTGAATATGATTTAAACAAAACTACAGTATAATTATAGGATGTGGATGTGAGGATGAGAAGAGTGATAGATATGAAGGGGTAGTGGCGAAACAATACTAAATCCACATCTCCCATGTTAGGAGGTCAAATAATGCCTAATTCTGCAAAATCAAGAAGCAGTATAAACATATTACCCAGAAATATGGCCCAAAATTACCCTTCCCTCTGCCCCCCCCCCAAAAAAAACCCACTGAAATATTCAGAAATCTTTGCTCTGGGCACTTTTTAGTCCCTTTTAATTTGGAAACTCATATCTTTCAATGCAAAATGTTCTTGATTTACTTATTTGATAATTTTCTTTTATCCATTTCCTCTTGTCTCCCTTTCTACAGTTACTCAGATGGGGCCTCCTGGACTGTTCCTTTAGTCCTCTGATTTCTAAATCTTCTGTCTTGTTATCCTCTCATTGTCTTTTTTGCTCTACTGAAAGAGAGATCTCTGTGACAGAGACATTTCCTCAGTTATTTTTTTAGTTTTAAGATTTTATTTATTTATTCATGAGAAACGCACACAGAGAGAGGCAGAGACACAGGCAGAGGAAGAAGCAGGCCCCTCCAGGGAGCCTGACATGGGACTTGATCTGGGGCAGGATCATGCCCTGGGCGAAGGCGGCGTTAAACTGCTGGGCCATGAGGGCTTCCCCTCAACTATTTTTTTTAAAGATGTGTTTATTTATTTTAGAGAGAGCATGTGTGCACAAGAAGGAGGAGGTACAGAGGGAGAGGGGGAGAGAGAGAGAGAGAGAGAGAGAGAGAGAGAGAGAGAATCTCAAGTAGACTATGCTGATTGTGGAGCCTGATGCTGTTCCAGCCGAATCCAAGAGTCAGGTGCTTCACTGAGCCACCCAGGCACCCCTCAACTTAACTATATTTCAGCCCTTTTATTATTTTTTTCAAAAAATGTCTGCTCTCATATTTTGAATTTTTAGGAGCTTTTTTTTTTGTTCTCTTTAGATAGATGATAATCATGCTGTTCTCATGCTGTGGATACAGTATACTCTCTCATCTCTTTGGGATATGAAAGATAGCATTTCTGTTTTCTCCCCTCCCCTATGTTCATCTCTTCAGTGTTGGCTTCTATCTCCTTGTTTCCATCTTTGTCGTTCACACAGAGGCTCTCCTCAGATACCCAATGACTTTTGGTTTTCTAAGAGTGGAGGGATTAGACAGCTATGGGGAGCTCTGGGTACCTCTAGGCGTAGTATGTTGATGGGGGACTTTGCTCTTGGTTGGTGTTTTGGGTGGTCTGTTTCATTGAAAGAACCCTGGTGTCAGGATTTTTAGGTTTTCTAGAATCACACTCCCTAGAGGTGACTTCGCCATTCCTAGGCCTAAGGAGTAGAGGTTGGAAGCAGGCATTACAGGAACCAAGTGCAGGAAGACAAAATAGTTGCTCTTAGAATTCCAGAAGTCAAAGGTCACTTGAATTCCACTGTTTTTTACCCCACCTAGCTTTGATTTTGCCTAGTACCCTGTTGTCAAAGACGTTCTCTAGAATAAACCTGCCATTATCTATCTACCTGCATAATAGATCCATCATTCAGATTAGGGGAAGAGCTCTGGGGAGGTGTCTAACTTTCCCCTCACTCTCCTGCTGATAGCCTCACAGTCCAAAAGTACCCATTGCCAAAAATTTGGAGGCTTTAGGAAATCTGAACTGTAAATTAGTTTCTTGACTTTTCCCACAGTTGCTTTCTAAAGTTTAATAGGTAGTTAATACTCCTGTGTCTGCTGTTTACTTTCTAAAATTTTCTTTTATTCTCTTCTGCTCTCTTCGTTCTTATGAGTTTGTTCTTTTAAAACAGCTTATCTCTCATTTTGATGAGATTATAGAAAGGAAGAAAACATGAATACAAGTATTTTGCCCTTTATTTTTACTTAGAAGTCTAATCCTCATTTGTCATTATTTTAGCTATTACAGCAAGGACTCTAAAGCTATGGGTATTAGGTATATGAAATATCTGAAGACAGTTATCTTTTAAAATGGTGACGGTTGAGCATATTTAGGCAAAACCATGGATATTCCTGTTTGGCTCTCATAATTTTACGCAATTGTTATTAACTTTTATATTATGCAATTTTTAAACTGAATCAGAAAAAGCTATTCTCCCATCTTCAAGGTCCTAAAACTGAATTATTCCCCATATTTTGACTTCAGTAGATAATTTCACTCATGCAGGCTACTCTATTTTTATATCTATTTTCACCAAAATACTTTTCTCTATGTTTAGTAAATTGCTTTCTCATGGCATATAAACAATGAGCAAACTCAAAACTATTTTCCTTACAGATCACATTCTATTATCAGTGATGAAAGTATAGTTTAGTTGCACTTTCAGGTACATCTCAACAATACAAATGGAACTTTATAGAATTTATGAAATTATTCTAAATAATTTATTTTTTTATTTTTATTTTTATTTTTTTTTATTTTTATAAATTAATTTTTATTGGTGTTCAATTTACCAACATACAGAATAACACCCAGTGCTCATCCCGTCAAGTGTCCCCCTCCGTGCCCGTCACCCATTCACCCCCACCCCCCGCCCTCCTCTATTTTTTTATTTTTTTTATTTATGACAGGCACACAGTGAGAGAGAGAGAGAGGCAGAGACATAGGCAGAGGGAGAAGCAGGTTCCATGCACCGGGAGCCTGACGTGGGATTTGATCCCGGGTCTCCAGGATCGCGCCCTGGGCCAAAGGCAGGCGCCAAACCACTGCGCCACCCAGGGATCCCGAAATTATTCTAAATAATAAGCAGCGAGACATGAAATCTAGGTTAATACTTATGGTTGTTTTCTTTTTTCAAGATTTAATTATTTATATGACAGAGAGAGTGCAAGCCAGAGAGCACAAACAAGAGGAATGGCAGCAGGAGAAGGAGAAGCAGGCTCCCCACTGAGTAGGGAGCCCAATGTGGGGCTCTCTTCCAGGACCCTGAGATCATGACCTGAGCTGAAGCCAGACGCTTAACTGACTGAACCTCTCAGGTGCCCCATTATATTTACATTTTTGGGTTTCTTTCTATGTCTGGCACAGAAAATTTTACCTTGAATTTGAATTGAATTTTATTTACCTTCAATAAATAATTATTGAAGTGCTGTTGGTACTCAGTATAATGATCTTGAGTCAAAATTACATACAAGAAATCCGAGGTGCCTGGATGGCCTAGTCAGTTAGGTGTTAGACTCTTGATTTCTGCTCAGGTGTGGTCTCAGGGTTATGAGATAGAGCCCCACCTGGGGCTCTGCGAGTGCAGAGTCTGCTTGAGATTCTCTCCCTCTCCCTCCGCCTCTCCTGCCCCCATTTGCTCTCTCTCTCTCTAAAATGAATAAGTAAATAAAATCTTTTAAAAAAAGGGAATTATGTACAAGACATCTAATAGACTAATAATAGTCTTTAGGTAATTATTATCAAAAACTTGACACCAGAAAAATGATTGACATTCTTCCTTCTAAAGAACATCAAGAGATGGGCACCTGGCTGGCTCAGTCGGTGGAGCAAGTGACTTGTGAGTTTGAGCCCCCCATTGGGTGTAGAGATTACTTAAAAATAAAATCTTTTTTCTTTTCAACTGT